GAATAGACTTCGACCAGAGGTCCCATCCCACTGCACCAGTTGTCTTGAAGGTTCTTGAGTTCCTGAGCTGGAGCTCACTTGCAATAAAGAGTATAAAACATTTTTCCTTGCTTAAAATTGCCATAAAAGGAAAATTTTTAACAAAATGGATGCGATCAGGAGAGAGTTTTTTTTTTAACTTAGCTATAGTTGTATTCTACTCTTTATGTGTTTACTTTATTTATTTTGTTTATTTTCTTATTTTTCTATTTCTATTTTTCTTTTACATGTACTTTTCGTGTCAACTCAAAATATATAAAAAGAATACACTTTTGATTTGAATAAACTTAACTTTTTGTTTGAGTTCAATAAATATCACTCTCTAAGTTCACTGTCTAATTAAAATCATCCATAATTTCATTAAGACTTTTACAATTTAGTAACTGATGTAATAATTGGTTTGATTGTCGGTAGTGTGATTTTGTTTTGATTGTCATTATTAAAAGTAATTTTGTTTATATTGATTATTATATGATATATTGATGATACAAGTTTGTTTTGAATTTTGGTAATATTTAATTGGTTAAATTTGAAATGATCAATTGACAGGAGTAAACTGATTACAGTTTTTTGGTGAGAAATTTTTTGAGTAAAAATTTTTGATTTTTTGTAACATAACAGTATGTGTTGAGCAATGTTAAGAAGTAGGTATTGTAAATATTGCTGGTGCTCCAAACCAACAACATATATAATTTTGAAATAGAGTTTAATTTTTTGAATAAAAGAGAAGCTATTCAAGCAGAAAATTTGTTTATTTAATAAGAAGTATATATTAATAAGAAGTAAAAATAGGAAAAACCTTAAGAAAGATTTATAAAGAAGCAACTGTCATAAACCTTCCCTCATACAATTCAAGAAAAAAACAAGTTCACCAAACTTGTTTTTTTTTAGCCAGAGATTCTATTTTGATATATCAGTGTACTTTTTTGGTTTCCTTAAGGTTCTTATAGTAAAGATAAGAAAGGTGTGGAGGACTTTTGGATATTGAAAGGCAAAAAAAATATTGTGTACAGGAAAGAGTAATTTTAAAAAATATTATTATTTAATTATGTATAATATATAGATTTATATTGTCAAAAAATAAATGAAAAGTTATTATTATTATTATTAACTTTGTTTATAGAGATAATCAAAATTTCTAATTATTATATATTATCTTATTAGACATTTTAATTATTAATATAATATTTATAAAATTTTATATTAATACTAATTGCTATTTAATTGGATACTATAAAGTATAACTTTTTAAAAATTTAAATAACTATAATTATATAATAGTTTTTTAGATATATTTAGTTTAATTATTAATAAATAAACAATATATTGATTTTTTTAAAAGGTAAACCATCTATTTTTTTTTTTAAAAAAAATTTTTTTAAAATCACAACTTGAAAAAAGTTATTATTTTTTAATATAATTTTTAAGAAAAGGAAATTAATTGATTAGAAAAGTGATAAAATAAAAAAAAATATTTTAAAAAGAAAAAAAGATCCAAAGAAAAATTTAATTTTGACAAGAAAGAGGAAAAAAAGAAAAGAAAAAAAAATAATATATTAAAAAAAAAAAGATTATAAAAAAAATATATATATATATATATATATAGAAAAAGAAAATAATAGAAAGGAAAAAGAAGAAGCAAAAAAAAAACAACTTAAAAACAATTTAAAAAACTTTTTTTTCAAGCATAGGAAAAAGAAGTGAAAAGGTTTTTTTTTATAAAAATATTTTATATTTTTAATCTACTGTATATATAATATAAATTATATTAAAAATTTATAAATTTCAATAACATATATATTTTAATCTAAAAAATCATTATCTTTTATATTCAAAAAAACTTTATTTAATATAAACCTATGGACCTAAGAAAAAAAAAATTTTTTTTTATAATAACAAATTACAAAATATGCAAAAAATGTTTTTTTTATTAAAGTCTGCTTATTAATAATACATTCAACTCAAATCCGAAATTACCCATCAATTTAATCACGCCTGTCTCAACTCAATGTAATACTGTAATATGAAATAAACAAAAGTTTACTGTAAATAAAATATGCTGTATTTCATATATTTTATTATTATCGATTATTATATTATAATACAAATATTTTTTCTAAAATATCAATGCAACATGTTCTATCTTTTATATATACACAAATTTAGAATACGCGAATAACCAAATCAAAGAAAAAACGTAAGAATTATTTACAAATCCCAATTACATTTATTATATGTACATCTTCAGACGAATCGTGCTTTTAATTCTTTAATTCACGTCAGAAAGAATAAACAAAAATAAAACGTCCTTTTTTTATTCACAAACAGAAAGGTCGAGTCAAATTTTTAAAAGGGTGATGCGTATGCAGGAAGGGTTGAAGTAGATTTTTAAAATAATGAAGTGACTAACATTAATTGAAAAACCGAATTGCGAATGAAGAAATCGCACAAAAATGCAAAAAGAAAAATTAAAAGGAACATTTTTTTTTTTCGCGGTTAAAAAAAAAAAAAAAAAAAAATCTAATAACAATAAGAAAAGTAAGGTAAATCTGTAATTTTAAAAAATCAGGGGTTGTTCCAATCACAAGAGTCATCGTTCTGAATAAATAATGACGATATTTCTTGATTAAGTCCCACCTTATTTTCAGCCATCATGAAAAAAGAAAATTTACAATTGTTATTTTGATTGCATAAAAAATTTACAAAAAAAAAGATGGCGAAATCTTTTCGCCAAAAAAAAACCCCCCATTCAAACAAAACGTCAACAGTCCATTATTAGACGTGTCGCATTCATTTAATCGTCTTTTTGGGATTGCAAATACGTCTCCATTTCCCTCGCGTATCGAGCTTTATCATCAGAGGCTTTCTTTTCCCAAGGTTTTCTTTGCTCGGGCGTCAAATTCTTCCAATGGCCTGCGATAATTTTACTGATTGGACCGACCGTACTCCCCGGATTTTGTTCGGCTATATGTGGTCTCATTTCCAGAGCGTAAAACAAGAAACCTGACATGGGATGCTTGGGTGCTGTCGGATGTCGACTTCGTTTCTTCTTACGACCTCGAGGATCCTTCACTGGCGAACTAGACGAAGCTCCGTCGTGGTGATGATTCGGATTTTGAGCACGTTGCTCATCATCAGTATCGGAATCATCCCGATTGGAGGAACTGCGTTTCTTCGAATAACTGTGATGACCCGCAGCAGCAAGCTCAGCCTTTGATCTGCGAGTATAAACGAAGTCCGGATGGGTCTCGTGGAATTCATTTTTCAAATCGCGAGCCCTTTGAAGGTATCGCTCTCTCTCTTCCTGCGAGTAAGGAATCGTATGGACAAATGGTCAGTATAAAATGAAGAGAACAATAAGTCAATAGCTGAAACACTCACTTCTGACATTCCCCGCCAATTTTCTCCTATTGTCTTGGAAATCTCGGCGACGGTCATATTGGGATTCATTTCTAAAACTTTGGGTCGCATCTCTTTGTTAAATATTAGGAATGCGTTCATGGGCCTCTTCAACTTGCGGTCCCTTCTGGAAGTTGACGCAGGAGGAGGTGCGCCTATCGGTTGAGCAGGTCTTTGGGGTTGTGTTGTCGGTTGTTGATTCTAGAATGGATGGATAAGAGTGTTAGCGAACAATTTATAATGAAAATAGATGACAACACACAAGCGATGTAAATGGATTAGATACCGGTCGGTTTACAACCGGTGCATTTCTTTGTTGGATGGGAGTAGATGATGATGTTGTTGTTGTTGATGATGATGATGATTGTTGTTGCTGCTGCTGTTGCGGCTGCTGTGGTTGTTGTTGTGGTTGGTTCGGTGAGTTGTAAGTAGCATTCGTCTGACGCGAGGGAACACCGTTCAAGGAGCCATTAGGCTTGCATAATATGAAAATGGAAATGTTAGAGTGGATTGCCGTGAAAATGATTTCACGAAGACAATAATTGAATGACCTATGTGAAAACCTACCATCGATACGTTGGTAGCCTGCGGTGGAACCGCTATCGAGGTGGTTGGTGATTTGGCAGATGAAGTGGAAGAAGTCGAATTTCTCTTCTTTGAAGCATTGGGGGCACCGCGACGTGTGTAAACAAAATCGGGATTTGACTGTTTAAATTCTTCTTTAAGTTGTTTTGCCCTCTCGTTATAATGCTCTTTTCGAGTCTACATTGTGAGCATGATTAATTATTATGATTTTAAGTTAACGGTGGATCTCAACTGCAAAAGTTTATAAACATACCGAATCCATGTTTTTCCATTCCTCGCCCAAAATTTTACTAACTTGAGCGGTCTGCATGTTGGGATCATTCTTCTGCAATTCCGGTCGGCGCTCACTTGAAAATATAATGAATGCGTTCATTGGTCTTTTCGGCTTATGTTCTTTTTGTGGAGGGAGACCGGATGGTATATCAGATGCTTTAGCATCTTGAATCGGCATGGAATTATTACTACTATTACTATTATTAATGTTGTTGCCATTGTTATTATTATTGTTCTGTGGCAACGATGCAGAGGATGATGATGCAACTGCCATTTCGATTTGGGAACTTTTAGGGTGTTTCTGTTGATTTGAAATAGCAGGCACATTGGTCTGAGGAAAGCTTGATGGCTGTTGCTGATTCACGCCACCTCCGGGCAACACACTACGTCCCATTGGCTTGGGAGGTGTCTGATGTTGAGTCGGTTGTTGTATTTGCTGTTGAATCTGAGGTTCGGATGGTTGTTGTGGCGGTTGTTGTTGTTGCTGTTGCTGAGAATGATGTTGTTGCATTGATTGTGAATGTTGCATCTGTTGCATTTGTTGAGATTGTTGGGATTGTTGCTGAGAAAGATGCATTGGTTGAGGATGATGTAATTGTTGCTGTTGATGTTGCAGCTGATTGTGTTGATGTATTTGCGTTTGTTGTTGTTGCTGTTGTTGAATTTGAGTTTGTTGCGGGTGCAACTGTTGATTCGGCATGTTCTGTTGATTCGGAACACCAGACTGTATCGAAGATTTTTGGGTTACGGGTTTCGTTATTCGAGGAGATGACTTGATGGCATTAGGACTAGAGGACGCCTGGCTAATGGATGATCTATGATGTATCTGTTGTTGTTGCTGTTGCTGCTGCTGTTGTTGTTGTTGTTGCTGCTGCTGCTGGATATGTGGAGATGCAGTGTAATTTTGATATGGACTTCGGCTAGCCTGTTGATGAGTTTGACTTTGCTGTTGCAACTGTTGTTGAATTGATTGTTGCGTTTGTTGGGTAGACGAAGCGGTTTGTTGCTGAGAAGAATAACCGGACCCCATACCGACCCCAACATTTGAGGGGATGAAATTACCATCGTGTGAAGCATACCGTTGTTGGGCGTTTTGTGGGGTGACAGCTTGTTGCTGTTGTTGTTGTTGTTGCTGCTGCTGCTGCTGGTTAGCATATGATTGTTGTTGTTGATTATTTTGACCACTCATCATATAAGTATTGTATATTCCAGTACTTCTTGGCTGAGCCATGCCGGAAATGCTACTAGTACCATACACATTACTTGTGTCAACCGAAGAACGTTTGTTGATATTCACGGGAGTAACCGACGAATGACCAACAGTTGAGTCAGTGATGCTGCTTATTGACGTATTCGGAGATGAGACCGGAGGGTTGTAACGTCGTGGTTGCTGTTGACGTTGAATTTGGTGGTGTTGCGTTTGAGCCTGAGCCTGATGTTGTTGAGACTGCGAGTAACGACTATTAATGCTATTGCTCAAGTAAGTTTGTTGATTATTCTGTGAAATTGAAGTTTGCGTGGATGGGGTATTGGATGCTAGAGATGACGAGGTCACCATCGAATTTTCCATCAAAGCTTCGGTATCTAGATCACTTGACTGAATTATGTTTTCAGAAATCAGTCACAAAAAAAAGAACGATGAGAGCAACGCTAACATATATCAAATAAAAAAATTTTTTTTACATACAGTATCAACATCCACGGCAAATGAACTCAGGTTACTTGTATCGTTAACAAGCGCTTGCCGCTGAAAGCCCAC